ATGCAATTATGTAGTCACACGTAATATTATATTTCATTAATACCGTAATATAAAATTTTAATTAAAATTAATATAATTAAAATTACTATAATTAATTTGACATGGTAATCACATGTATTACTATAATTAATTTGACACGTTAAGTAACATTTAATTACTATTATTAATTTGACACGGTAATCACAAGTAAGATTCTAATTTTAATAAAAACTTATTATTATAAAAAAATAATTATATTAACTTCAAAATTACCATTTTATATTACTATAATTTCGGACACTTATTACTATTTTAACTTCACAATTGTCATATGTAATGGACATACTTCGTGCATGGGTTAAAAATGGACACTATAATTTTGGACACTTACCATTTATATAGGTGATAATTGTATGGAGTAATAATTATTACATTTTTTGGTTATTACCTTTCTTGCTATTAAACATAAATATAATGGTAATATATAAAGGGTTTTACAGTATTAATTTTTTCGAAACTGTGGGTATACTTATTCTTACCATAATTATATTATACTATAATTATACACACGTTTTTATATAACATATTCACATGGTAATCATATAATTATATAATTATGGTGAGAATAATCATAACACGTTTTTAGTACCATTGATTGGCATGTATTAAAGTTTATGAATATTTTTTATAAATTATTTTTGCCTATTAATAATAATCAGTCTTAATGAATTACCTTTTTTATTTAATTCGTAATTACGTCGGTCTACATTATTACCATTTAGTAATAATCAATTGTATTAAATATAATACTTTTAAATTTTTATCATTAAAGGAGAAAAATTAAGACTGAAATTACCATTTTTAAAGTAAAGAAATAAAAATCCGGAAATTACCTTTTTATTTAATTCGTAATTATGTCGGTCTATATTATTACCATTTTTAATAATAATCAGTCTTATTAAATTTAATACTTTTCAATTCTTATCATTAAAGGAGAAAGATTTTTAAAATGGTAATTTCCGGATTATTATTTCCTTACTTTAAAAATGGTAATTTGAAATAATTATGACAATTAATTATTATAAATATGATATAATAATTATACTTATAAAACGTAAATTTTATATTACTATAATTTCGGAGACTTACCATTTTAACTTCACATTACCATATGTAATGGTCATAGCCTTTGGACGTGAGAACGCAATATTGACTCCATGTTTTTTTAAACAATGTATGGATTTGTACTTTGTATATGGTACTCCGTATTGTTTAATTTGATTAAAGACTTTTTTTATTAATTTAATTGAATATAATAATTTATTTTGTTTAATAAATAAAAATGTAAATATTTTGTTAAAGTAGGTGTCATTTACTGTTATAAGAACAAGTTCTAATAGGTTTGTGATTTTTAACTTTTGGTGTGACGCTAATGCAACATTTTTAGAGTTGTTTTTTGAGTTTATTGTTATAACCACCCTAAATATTATAGAGCATATGTATATGTATTTTTTTGGGTAGGAATATGATTAATGTAAAAATTACTTTGTACAACATGAATATTTAAAAAAAGTGCAATTTTAAAATTTACTCCATTGGTTCCAAAATTATTTCTAAGCTACAATTCATATGATCAAATCATTTTTCGTTATTTTCATATTGTTATTGATCATATGTCAAAATAAAATAATCTTTTCTTATTTTGTTTTGTAAAACTCTTGATATCGTTTTTACATATGCAAATTTATTTTAAAATTTTACACCAGTAATTAAATAAATTGAATTTAAAATAACTATATGCAAACATCATACACCAAAATAGAAAGATGACTCGGAGATGGAGAGTGTATATGATACGAGTGTTTTTTTAATCCCTAGGATGATGGACCTTTTTTTCTGATAAAATCGAAAAAAAACTATCTCTTTGAAAAATTTTTTCTTTTCGGGCAACATCTTCGGGGTTATCCATATGGTTGGCTTCTATAGTAGTGTTTAAACTCGAAAAGACACAAAATATCTCTTCAATTGTAGTTATGCTTTCAGTTTTTTATGATATGGTCAAAATTCATCATTTTTCTATATATTGTCAATAAACTTGTTAAAATGAAATTATTAAACATACCCTGAGACTATCCTTTTATTTTGTATAGATTAAGGTTTAATTTTATATAATATACGCCTGAAAATAAATGTTCAATCACTAAAATAATTAATTATGTCCCATCAAATTTTACATAAAATTTATTTCGTACTAGTTTTTAAGAGTGATGTTAGAAGGATATCAAAAAATTGATACCAAATATACACCAAGACTTATATAAATGCATACAGTTACTTAATACGGAGTAGTTAATATACGTGCACACAGATATTATATGTCTGTGTAAGTCTTGGTTTGTTTGGTATCAAATGCTTAGTCTCTCAAACATATTTTTATGGAAAAATATTAGGTGTATCCCTGATTTTGTCTCTAACTTGTATACTAGTGTACTCCTGATTTTTGTGAATTGACTTTCCAACTATTCTTAAATACTTATGGAGAAAGAAAAAAGAGACACAACTCATTTAAATAATTTATTATATCAATGCAAAATGAATGAAGTATATTCTAACGACTTTATTTGAGTATATTAGTCATTTTTGTTGAAGTAGATGTGTTATGTTTAAACAAAAAAATGAAAGAGAAAATGTTTTATAAAACGGAGGAAGTATTATAAACATACATGGATAACCATTATCTGTGCACGCATATACAAAAATAATTTGTGTGTATCTGTGATACAGAGGGAGTTATTGCATTGACACCCATTGTGGTTTAGTAAATGTGCACCGTTACTACCCATGGTTTCAAAACTTACGTTGCTGGCCTTTATGATTCTAATATTGCTACGCCTTGGAGAAAAATATTCTCCAAATATTAGGCGAATAACTCTATTGCGGCACTGTCCCCTATGGTTTTGGAAATTGACGTTAACGCCCCTCTCCTTTTTCTTTATTGTTTTTCTTTTTTTCTTTTGTTTTTTCATAAATCGAAGAAAAATGTTTGTGTGTGAAATAATGAAAAGTTGTTTTTCAAACCTACATTTTTTAAATTTTTTTTTAAAAAAATGTTTGTGTTTGAAATAAAAATTGAAATACAAAATTTTACAAAAACGCCATTTTCAAATTAAATATTTTCATTTTTTGTCTAAAAACATTTTTATCTTTTTGAATATGTTAAGACCAAAAGAATACTGAGTAACATCTTTTTAATATATAGTTAATTACTCCGGGTATATATTAATAACATTTTTTTGGATCGATGCGCAAAAGATTTCCTTCGACTTAATTTTCCCTATTCTATAAAATTATTTTTCCCAAATAGTTTTTTTCATTTATTTTCTTCTCTATTCTTTTTCTTTTATTTTAATTTTGATTAAAATAAAAGAAACAATATAAAATTACTAAATAGAAAATGAGAAATGAACTTTAGTAATAAAAAAGAGAATGTTTTATTGATTTTTGTATCGTGAAAATGAACCAACAAAGACCTATTTTGGAGAAAAAAAGAAAATGTTTATTTTAAGACAAATGAAGTATACGTTAATTCTTATTATTTAATTTATTTTTATAGCAAACATAAAAAAAAATGATAGTTAAAACATTAAAATGAATAATTTTAAAAAAGAAATTAAAAAACATTCATGAAAAAAATAGTAGGAAAAAGAAAAACAATAAAAAAGGAGGCGTTTGTGTCAATTTTAAAATCATAGGGGTGGCGGAGCTATTTACGTAATACTTGAAGAATATTTTAGTATAGAGGACATTAGCGTAGCAATATACTAACCATGAGGGGCAACAAAGTAAGTTTTGAAACTAAAAAGATTAACCGTACACATTTACCAAATGTCCAAACCACAAGAGGTTTTGATGCAATAAACTAAATACTCCCTCCGTTCCTAAATATTTGCCATACTTGTAATTCCGAGGCAAAATATCAAGTTTTTTCAATTCATTTTATTTACATATTGGTATTGAAATAAAAAATAAAACTTACATATAAAAAAAATACATGAAAAGTTCTTCGAAATTAGAGGTGTCAAGAATATTTTATTTTATCAAATAACCAATGAAAACGTAGAAATAAACAAAAGTTCCCGCGACTGCTGAAAAAGCAAACGTTACAAATAATTTGGGACGGAGGGAGTAGATAAATGTGCAAATTAGAGTAAAAAGTTTGGGATACACTTAGAGCACTGGTAATGGGCTTCACGCCCGCCGGCGTGAAAGGGCGTTTAACACCCCAGGGGCGTGAAACACCGGCCCCCTCCGGGCGTGATCGGCCCTGCGTCAAAGAAATGACGCGGCGTCATTCCATTCCCCTCTCCCCTAACGGCTTTATAGCCGTTGCACTCCAATTCAAATTTTTTTTCTTATAAATTCAAACCCCCCTCCCAATCTCTCACATCTTCTCCATCTTCAATCTCTTCTTCTTCCCAATTTTTAAATTTCGAAATTACCCCCTCTCTATTCAACATGAATCCTTCCGGCTCCGGCTTCTTTCCCGACGATCTCCCGCCGAGTGACGCCGCGATGTGGTTGTTCCAACAATGAGAGAGATCAAGGAGAAATATAATTTACCTTAGTTTTTTTATTAATGTATCTTTTTTTTTAAATTATTGTCGTTTTTTATTTAATTAATGTATTTTTTATTATTCGTGTTTCAATTTAATTAAATAATAAATTAATTACATTTTATTAATTTAATTTTAAAAAATGTATATTTAAAAATGTAAAAAATGAAGGTTTGAACATTGAAGCCCCAGAGCTTTAAACCCATTTCCAGTGAATTTTGGGTGTAAGTTAAAGCTGACGTGACAGAGAGAGAAGATTTGAAGCCCCGGTTTAAAGTCCCAGGGTTTCAAACCCATTACCAGTGCTTTTAGCACAACTTTTTTTAATTTAACATTATTTTTTAAATTTGTAAATAAATTGAATTTAAAAATTATTGAAGAGCAACGTGTAAAAATAAGTTGATAACCCTACCCACTTGTCCCGATTTCCAAGCGGCGGAGTTCCCGGAGGACGATTTTGCCATCGGCACTACCCCTATATGTTCGATTCCACAGCGCAGCCCGCACAGAAATCGAAGCCACCACCTAAAAGATCTCTAATCTCCCAGCAGCACGGTTGAATTCTCCGGCGGTCTCCTCTCTTTCTCCCACAGCCACCAACCCATGGCACCTGCTCCGGCGGTTTCCTTGCTGGCCAGCGCCGACGTCGCGTCTGTGAAAACATTCACCGGACGTTACGCCTCTGTTTACAGTGAAGTGCAGAACAGCCGCCTCGACCACCATCTCCCTCTCCCTTCCGTCCTCCGGAAACCTTTCAAAGTTGTCGACGGCCCCGCTAGCTCCGCTGCCGGCCACCCAGGTCACTCCCTTCTCCTTCTTTAGCCTTTTGTTCCGGTATATCATTTCTGGATTTAGCATTGCCATTACAGATAGATCTTTGCACATTGACGTATGAGGCGACATTGGATAGAGTTTTTTTTGCATTTCTCTGTGATTCAATCCATGTGATTTCACTGTTTAAGGGTTGGCATCTAGTGATTACAGGCCCAGTTTAACAATTCGGCGATGATCACATGTAAACAGTAGAAAAATTTAAATTTTATTAATTGTCTGTAAATTACTAGCAGATCTACAAATCACTACCCCTATGAATCCATGCAGTACACGGAGTTTTTACTAGTTCTTATACCATCCAGTGAACACCAGGATTATTTTGAAAACATCTTATTGGTTACTTGTAATTGCATTCCAAAAGGACTTGGATGGACTTATAACGAGCTTGGCAAAAGAAATCTAGGTATTCAAGAGGAACAAGTAGGTTAGGTGATTATCTAGAATCCAGAAATCCAAAATAAGTTTAAGGCCAAGTGATCATAGGCCATTTGGCATAAATGTCATGATATTTCGATATCATGATAAGATTAAAGGCTTGCTCCTCTGCCAATTGAGGGTTGCTCAACTTGGTCAATGGTCATCATGATTCATGCACATTATCAAAACTATATATATATATATATATATATATATATATATATATATATATATATATATATCAATATTTCTCTTTAGTATTTCTATGTGGCATTCTTAAACATGAACATGAAGTTCCATTTATATTGTACTAAGACACATTTTGCATTATATCATCAACTTGGTTTTCTATCCCTTATTCCGATAAGTGTATTTTATTTCTCACTACTCTTTCTGCATGGGCTGAGCTTTTAGTGAGCTTTTAACATTTGTAGTTTAACTAATGGACGGGCTTGGTATTTCAGAGGAGATTGCAAAGTTGTTTCCTTGCTTATATGGTCAACCATCAGCAGCATTGGTGCCAGATGATTCAGGAGATGTTGCAATGGGCCAGAGTTTGAAGATTGGAGTTGTTTTGTCGGGTGGTCAAGCACCTGGAGGGCATAATGTTATTTCTGGAATATTTGGTTAGATCATTTATAATTATTATGGAGTATTATAAATATTTACGATGTCATGATAGTGTTTTTACATATATTTTTTCACAGATTATTTGCAGGACCATTGCAAAGGAAGCACATTGTATGGATTCAGGGGTGGACCAGCTGGGATCATGAAGTGCAAGTATGTGGTGCTCACGCCAGAATATATTTACCCATACAGAAACCAGGTAATATATTTTTTTTAAATTTTTTTGTGTCTTGATTGTAATCTACTCCCCTTCCCCCCTCCTCCCTCTTTATTGTCCTAGTTTCCTTTGTAGGTTGTTCTTTTTATTGTCCAATTTCCCTATGAAGTAATAATTGTGTAGTTTACATAATTTCTCTCTCCTCTGCATACATTTACACCTCAATATTTTTAAGAACCTGGTGTAAAGTCAATTTAGGACACTAAAATAGGGATGGAGGGAGTAAGTTTTTGAGGAATTCAGTTGTGTTGTTAATGGTTCAGTACATGAACATCATCTATCCTGAAATGCTAACATCATCTATCCTGAAATGCTGAAAGAAGTTACTTATAGAAATTGAGAATAGGAATGTGAAGTTATTTTATTCCTTGTCCTATATGAAATATTTACATCTGTGTAATTGTGTAAACTAAGGTGCATAGAAAGTGAAATTAAGGCACCTAGTTTTTACTGCTAAGGATTGCATTATGAATACGAGAATAATGTGAATTGGTCCATGACAATTATAATTTTCTCCAGGGTGGGTTTGATATGATTTGCAGTGGGAGGGACAAGATTGAGACTCCAGAGCAGGTATTGTGAGATTTTGTTTGAAGTTTCATATTCATGTATTCGTCATATGTGTGTTCCATTTTGGAGGAGAAGCGGGCTAACTGAAACTTCTTCCCAGTTTAAGCAAGCTGAAGAAACAGCACAAAAGCTTGATTTAGATGGGCTTGTTGTGATCGGTGGAGATGACTCAAATACAAATGCATGTCTTCTTGCAGAAAACTTTAGGTATGCTACAATGCAAAAGTAACTTTTTTTTACTCGCCAGAATCTTCAGTAAGGCTAGCTTTGTACACATATAAACACTTAAAATCAGCTTTACTTACAAAATTTCATATACATATCAGGAGTAAAAATTTGAAAACCCGGGTGATTGGATGTCCAAAAACCATCGATGGTGATTTGAAATGCAAGGAGGTCCCCACAAGTTTTGGATTTGATACAGCATGCAAGGTAATTCTACCTACGATATCCACTTTTGTAATTTTTCATTGTTTAGTAAGGTGGAAGGTTAATATCAAGGAGACCATATTTTGGTACTTCAGTGCTCCGGAATTTTGACAGAACTCTAGCATTGTATGCTCATTAATGTAATTTCTCTCTTGGTGACACTTTATTGGTGCTAGCATTTGTAAAATTGGCTACAATTAAAGTTGTATCACTTGGTTATCCGGTGGTCATGGTTATGGTTGCACTCGTAATATATCCCACTTAGTTGTACAGATTATTATCCAAAGTTTGTATCGTCTAGAATTTATTATTAAAACTCCGTAATGTTGTGTGTTCCTTTGTCTGTAGATATATGCTGAAATGATTGGAAATGTCATGATTGATGCTCGATCTTCAGGGAAATACTACCATTGTGAGTAGAGTAACCTAATCCTTCTTGCGTATTCCTGGTTCCTAATCTCATGCACTTATATATATGACTTTCCACAATTTAGAAAAGGTGAATTGAGAAACAAATCTCATGATAATTGCTCTCTCCTCTCTCATCAAATGATCATAACATGTTATAGTAAGAATATGCAGTGTATGAATCTGGTATGGCATGTTAACATATAGTGGTTTGCAGTTGTAAGGCTTATGGGACGTGCTGCTTCACACATCACTTTAGAGTGTGCCTTACAAACACATCCAAACATCACTTTGATTGGTGAAGAGGTATTCCTTCCATGCTATTCCTTCATTATATTCAAAGCTTGTTTGGTTTACTTGTAATAAGTAGTAAGAATTGAAGAGAACAAGCTCCAAATCTTATTGTTGCAAACTACATGTATATGCTATTTGCTTCACAACCCTAATGCATGCAGGTTTTTGAAAAGAAACAAACTCTGAAAAATGTCACCGACTACATTGCCAATGTGATCTCCAAGCGTGCAGAACTGGGACACAATTATGGTGTCATATTGATACCCGAAGGCCTTATTGATTTCATTCCTGAGGTAAAACCATTGATTTGCAAGTGTATAAATATGATGGAAAAAAATTATGCTTTGGGAATTAATATAACCAACACTGTTCCTATTTATCTGTCGATAACTTTTTTAAGAGAGCTTTACTGGTAAAATATATCAAGTTTCTTTTATCTACCACCTCATTTTCTGAAATTATATGATTTGGTCAATGTAGAGAGATAAATAGGAACAAATGGAATACATTGTTTGGCTAACTGTGGAATTAATAAGGAAAAAGTGCAGCCAGATGCACAAAGCATCTCGCTGAAAAAGGGTTCAGGAAAGGTACCACCAAGATGTGATTTAGGCAAATCTTATCTTGCATTTTTGCAAGAAAATGTTTCTATGATTCAAATCCGTGAGCTGTATTTTGGTCAAAACATAAGTGTATAATTATTCATATTTTTATTTTATGAGGGGTATTTAGGTTTAAACATATTCACTCCTTTTTCATATTGCCTAAGGAGTGCTATGGTTTTGTTTGTTTTCTTCATATTGCCTAATGAAGTCTTCCAAGGAAGATCAATTTGTAACCAACCAAAGAGTAGAAACTTTTTTTCCTGTGAACAAACAAGGAAATTAAAAGTCTCTCTCGAACCAAATTACTTGTTATCTTTTTTTGCGTTTAAGATGATGGTGGACATTTTTTCTTATTCAAACGGTGTTATTTTCTTTTTTGCAGGTTCAGCAGCTTATTGGGGAACTGAATGAAATTTTGGCTCATGATATTGTAGACGGCGCGGGTGTTTGGAAAAAGAAGCTGACCCCACAATGCCTTCAGCTATTTGAGCTATTGCCTCATGCTATTCAGGATCAATTGCTTCTTGAGAGAGATCCACATGGCAATGTTCAGGTGTTTAAACTTATTGTGTCTCCCTGTGTCCTAATTAAAATATGGAGTATGAAATTAAGTTTAAGAATGAGCTCATCTGGTCACCCCACCCTCTTCCATCCACCACCCCCGGTCTTGCAGGTTGCCAAAATAGAAACAGAAAAAATGCTTATTCAAATGGTTGAAACAGAGTTGGAGTTGAGAAAGAAGAGTGGTTCATATAATGGTCAATTCAAGGGACAGTCCCACTTTTTCGGGTAATTTCGTATTCAAGTGTGGATATGCCAAACTCATAGCTCTATCCCAATGTGATCTGCACACTTTGTTTCCAAATTTAAAATGACCTAATGATTTAAACCTCAGTTATGAAGGAAGGTGTGGCTTACCATCAAATTTTGATGCAACATACTGTTATGCATTGGGGTATGGTGCCGGGGCACTACTTCAGAGCGGGAAGACGGGATTGATATCATCAGTTGGAAACTTAGCTGCCTCAGTTTCAGATTGGACTGTGGGTGGAACTGCACTGACTGCATTGATGGATGTTGAGAGAAGACACGGTAAAAAAATTGCTCTTGTGAAGTTTGTTATTACTGGATGGAATTTATTTACGCATCTCACTTTCCATTCGTACTGATTTAAATTTGCAGGTAAATTCAAGCCTGTGATAAAGAAAGCAATGGTGGAGCTTGATGGTAACATAATTGCTTTGTTCTTCACTAGAAACAACTTTGTACGGACACATCTTTGACCTAATGTGGGATATGAAAAATTTTAGGTGCTCCATTCAAGAAATTTGCGTCATCACGAGATGAATGGGCCCTAAAGAACTGCTACTTGAGTCCAGGTATGTGTTCATTTCTTTTAGCCAAGGAAAATGAATCACAATCCGTATGGTAATCATATTTCTCTCAATCTGAATCTGAGCAGAATGAATAGCTTCAGACTTAGACTAGAAATAAAAAGTATGCCTACCGAATGCTTTTGAGCTTTTTCCAATTTGAGCCTTAACCAAATATTTTCTTGATAGGTTAATCCACCGGAAAATAAGACCAATAATCTAGATTGTATGAATATGTGAGAAAAACAAAACTGTATATTGCCCTACAAGTGTTAAGAGTGGCATCGGCGAGTATTTATAGCACAACTATAGGCAGTTATGATCTACAATTAGTGGTGCTAATCACAGAACGTTATTAGCACGTACTTAACCTAGGCAGGAAGCCTCCTTCTCTATGACCTAGCCTCACCCACAATCTGTCTCCACCCGTCGGATGGGCCTCGTTTCCGGGTTGCAACACCCCACGACTCATATCATGTGGGCTTCTACCTGACTTCTGGGTCGGGCTACTGCATCCTTTATTGCGTGGGCTTCTTGGGTGGGTCAGGCCAAGTATTCTGGGACTAACTACTATTGAATAATTGTCAATGGGCTAGGCATATTGGGGCAAGTCCTAATTACCCATCAGCCCTCGATCTCAGGAATTCTAACATGATTCTCGTTCTTTTTCAATGTAGGTCCAATTCAATTCGTTGGTCCGGTAGCTGATAGAGTAAACCACACATTGCTTTTGGAGCTTGGGGCTTAATCATAAGTGGACAGAAATGGCAGAGAGAATCCATCTGTTGTTCAAATGGACAATTGCTCTCTTTCTGTCATCATCCGCATGCGTACTTTTTTTCTTGAACACTATTAGTTTCTTTCTTTGAGTTCTGAGCCATTTCTTTGAGTTGAACACTATTAGTTACGGAGTACTCTCTCAAACCTTTTCCCAATTCTGGAAAATAAATAAAGTTCCATATTTTCTTCTTTCTGAAGTTCCCAAGTCATATTTTTTTTAAATGTTTTCTAGTGTTACCGTCTGATCCAACCTTTTTAGGAATTCGTTTGGTGAGTTTTGGAGTATTGATATGAGTTTTGAAATTTTGAATAAATAATACTCTCTCCGTCCCCATTAGTCCTTTTTATTTGTTTATCATAGATCTTTTCATTATCTTTTTCAACAATTAAAATACCACAACTACCCTTACTTATTTTATTTATTACACTTTATCTACCTCATTTAATATATTCCATCCATTTTCAATTGCACCCAAGTTGATTTTGACTTTGGAGTCAAAATTTGACTCCAAAGTCAAAACTAACTTGGGGGGTGCAATTGAAGGGGGTGGGGGGGCGTGTTTGGGTTAGGGCGGGGGTGGGGGGTTTACCGGAGGATAGGAATCGTCAATTTTACGAACGGGGTACCGGAGTTCCTCCGGGTCATCCCATGACATTGGTTCCCAATGTCATGGGAGAACCAAGGGGTTTATTTAATATGAATGCAAAAGTATGTGATTTTTAGTGACTGATGCAATTGAAAAATGTTTCTTCATTTTTTTCAGTGGATCCAAATTAAAACTAACTGTAAAACGGAGAAACATTTTGAATTTTATCGATCACTAAAATATCACATCACATACGTCTACACAACAAATGTTAAAATGGAGCTAAGGAACTTACGGTTTCATCAATAATGCATCTTTAGCAGAAACAACAAGAGGGATGAAGTTGTATGCCTCTTGTCAAGGAAGGCAGTCTCCCTATGTGGTGTAGTATTATATTCGTTACCTCCCGACTTTATTTTGCCACTTTTGACGCAGTAATAATATTTCTGTTTGTTTTTTTAAAAAAAAGAGGAATGAAGTTATATGCCTTGGACAAGAAAAATCATCATTCACCAAGATCTTTTGACCCAAATTGAAGACAAATATACAAATATAAAATAATTTAAACAAAATAATTAACTCATTCTTATATATTTTCTATGACTCAAATAATTAAACTCATCAAAATATAATCAATAAAAAATCCATATAAACTCATATTTCAAAATACAAAAAGATGGCCAAAATATTATTAAAAAAATTATTAGCTCAAATGATTTAATACCCTGAAATTTGGGAAGAATCTTAATGAAAGCATACTCCTCCTGTAGATATGAGAAATCACTTTAGTGACAATATAACGATTGAGAATAATGTGCGCATCCATTTAAGATTTAAATAAAATTTTAGGCAATATTAAAAGCAAGAGCACGTTTGATATAAAAAAAGAGCACATAATAAGATCACATCTTTGTTTGCCTTTAATTGTGTGCATTAATCTAAGATTTAAATGATATTCTGCACTAAAATCATGATGATCTCAATAATTTAAAAAGTAAAAATAGTCAATTTATAAATTTTGTGACTTTAGCTTTTCTGATGTGGAAACACGAACATGTTTCATGCCCCTCAAAATAAGACTTTTGTTTTAAATTGTAATAGTTGACTTAAGTTTTTTTAATTCAATTGATTTGGAAATTAATTTAAAATTTATGAATAAAATAATTATATACGGAGTATCAAACATTATGTCGAAAGTCATACAAATTAAAAAATAGGTCGCGACAAAAATATTTGATACTCCCTATAATTTAATAGAAATAAAATTTATCTTAAAACCGAATATAGCCCCAGTTCCTTTAGTCGAACCTAGGGGTGAGCATGGTACGGTATGGTACGGTATTTAGCCCGTACCGATACCGTACCAAATATTTCGGTTCGGTATGGGATTTTACACCGTACCGATCCCGATCCCGACATATCGGTTCGGTATGGTTCGGGATCGGTTTCGGTACAAATTGGGATGAATATACATACCTACTTTACACCTTAAAGTTTAACAATGCCCCTTTATTTTTGAAAATTAAAAGTGAATTTAAATAAAAAAAACGTGAAAAATTAAAAAAATGAATATTTAAATGCAAGGGATGCATATCAAAACATAGTTTATATTTCACAAACTAAAAAAATGAACGACAACAAAGGGTTTTTCGAATCTTTGTGAATACTTTTATGTTTATACACAAAAACTAAAACTCAANCTACTTTACACCTTAAAGTTTAACAATGCCCCTTTATTTTTGAAAATTAAAAGTGAATTTAAATAAAAAAAACGTGAAAAATTAAAAAAATGAATATTTAAATGCAAGGGATGCATATCAAAACATAGTTTATATTTCACAAACTAAAAAAATGAACGACAACAAAGGGTTTTTCGAATCTTTGTGAATACTTTTATGTTTATACACAAAAACTAAAACTCAAATAAAAGTATAACTTACACATGATAAAACTTGAACCATTTTTTTTATAAAAATTACTCCGTATTACTTAGTGAAGGAATATGAAAAATATTACTCCGGGGTATTATTTTTTATAATATTTTAGTATATATGTTCGGTTCGGGATTTTCGGTATGGTACGTCACCTCGTACCGTTCCCAAATACCGTACCAACCATTCGGTTCGGTTTCTTCTTGGTACTTTTTCGGTTCGGTATTTTTCGATTTGGTATTCTCGGTTTTTTCTGAAATTTGGATATAGATTGGGTACTTACCCCTAGTCGAACCAAACACGCTCTAAAGAAGCTGCAGAAAGCAAGCAGCAAACATAGAAAAGCACTGAAGGCATATCACTTTAGAAACTAAGCACGAAAGCTCTTCTCCGCGGCGTCAATGGCGTGTCTCTCCAGAATGCTCCGCTGTAGCCGTGCGATCTCCTCCCTCAAAACCCTAGCCTCCTCCGCTCCCCGTCTTCGTCCCACACCCTTCAATCGTACTATCTCCCTCGCCTTGTATTTTCGCTTGATTCTCACAAATGACATGATTTTCCTAGTTTGCGTTCACTAATGAGATGGTTCTTACATTTTTCAATGTTTGGCTATCGATTGAGCTTTATGTGATGTATTATTGAAGTTCATGTCTGATAATTTTCCTGTTTGATTAATCTCACAAAGAAACCGTTTTTTTTAATTCTATTTGGAACGAAATGAATTCGTTATGGTTTTTAATATCAAGCCGATCGATTTAGGAATGGGGGGTCTAGGCGCTTATTGATGGTCTTCTTAAACCTTTTTTTAAAGTCCCATTTTAGTTTATTTACATTCTCTTTAGCTCAGGTTTGGGGGAATAGCTATTAGATATGGCAATGTTTGGATAACATATGTTTTTTTTGTAGAAGGGAAATACTCCGTATGTTTATACTTTGCGTTCAACTTTATGAGCAGTCATTGGAAACAAAATTCATTTTTAAGCATCAGTTAATATACTTGCTTACGTTTTTATCATCTGTAATTTTATGGAGTATGCTTTTCTTTTAACCTGGTTTTGTGACCCCGAGGAAACAAGAACCAAGGTCATTGGTCTAGTGTTTCATTCCACTTCAGAACCACCTATTTTTATTTGCAACCCATTCATGCAATTCTATAGACATGCCGGCTTTGCAATATAGGTTGTGCAACTTGTTAATTTGTTATATTCTTTGTAAACTCTACTTTGGAATGGTTATGATTTTTTTTGTATTGATCATGGATGCTTAATTGCTTATAGTGTTCGATACATATCTTCCATATGCTTTCATAATTTGCAGGACCTTTTGTGCATCATTTACACAGCTCTGCATACCAAAGTTCACAATCAGGATCATTCCATGGGCTTCTGATTCCAGCTGTCTTAGCTGGACTGTTTGGAGTTGGATTGGTAGATGTAGCATCTGCAGATTCCAATGAGGTTTGTTTGCATGAATGTTTCTGTTTATCATTAACTTGTTCAATATTCTTTGATTAACCACTAAAAAGGTTTCAGTTAATGTTAGTTCCAGTGGAATATAGATGTACTACTGAATGTCTAAATCCAATTATTCATTGTAAGTTTTTTTAAAATACAATTTTTGACCGGATGCATTTTGTAGATGTTTATCTGTATGCATTTTATGTCAATTCAGTTGATATGATAAATTCATTTTCTAATGAAACTTATACTTTTCAGACCAGTAAAGGAACTCCCTTTCCATCTGAATCCCCTCCTACATTAAGACATAATGCCTTGGAGGAACTTGCCATGAAAGAGAAGAATCGCCTCGGGGAGTTGATTAAGACCAAAGGAATGCTAGTTGGCACTTACCCTCGTTATACTGTTTCAGTCAAAGGTCAAAAGGTCTTCTCCTTTCTTTCTTTGATCTCTGTTCTCTTGCAAAAGTGCTAGTGGATGAACTAAAATCAACAAACTTTTATTTATATGTTGCACTTGAGTATGCATTTAAGCTAATTTCTCCCCCATTTCAGGTTGCAATCAAGTTCCAAGTGCCCCAGACGTGTGAAATACCAGTTCTACTGTCAAAGCTTGTTTCATGCCTTGGTGTTAAACTTGAAGACAATGGGTCTGGATCAGATATGACATTGCGGGCCTGGGAAAGGTAACCAGAACACTCTTTTCTTGTGATATTTACATTCTTTATTCAGTCATTATTGCGCTTTAAGTCTTTTCTTATATTTCTTGAATGTACCTATATCCAAGATTCCAAGCAACATTATTCAGCATCAATTTGGTTTTTAAAAACTTCTACGTTTATCTATTCTTACTGCAGTGGGATTGCCTGGCAACTGATGCTTAACCGGCCAAAGAAACAAAATGAAGCTGTCAGAATTGAAGGAGAAGGAAAGGGCACAAATGCTGATGATGGTCTATGCATTCTCTTTTTTCGTCCAGTCATCACTGCAGACAGAGCTGTTAGTTCCAACCCTATGCAGTTGACTACATTACATGATCATCTATGGATATGATCTATTTGATATTTTTTATAATTTATAGCAGATGTGTTATGTCTTATTGTGCTTTTATTTAGGAAATTGAGTTCATGAAACCGGGCAGCTTTACACCTGAGGAGCTCGATACCCTAGTATCTTTACTACAATTAGCAGGACAACCAAGAGGTATCAAAACTAGACCAAGTGGAGATGCTGGCAATGTTGTTTCTCCAAATAAAACCGTTTCACTTCTGGAAGCTATGGGAGTCAAGATTTTTGGAATTAATGAGTTGAGTGCTGATACAACAAAGGCTGATATTTCTTGGGAAAGTATTGCGGGATATAGCCATCAAAAGCGGTAATGTAGTAGTACACATTGTTAGCCGAGTCAGTGTTTTATTTGTAGAAAATGGAGAACTCGACATGTGGTTTCGCCTGAAAATGTTTTTTGAAAATGACCTTACATTAGTTTGAAATAACTCTTCGCCCCAAGAGATGACAATGGGAAGATTTTAAGTGTATCAGTTCATATTTATTTCATATAACAAGGGAGGTTGAAATTTTAGTGTCTTTGCAATATTTGTTCCAAGGTTTCTTGTATGTTGCATCATTACATCTACTCACAAGCATAGCATGTGGGCTTTCTCTTGACATGTTATACTTACAGAGAGATAGAAGATACCATACTATTGGCTCTGCAGAGCCCCGAAGTATATGACGATATTGCTCGCGGAACAAGATGCAAGTTCGAGTCAAATAGGCCTCGAGCAGTTCTGTTTGAAGGTCCACCAGGTATGACCCCCATCCTCTACTCCGATGACACTGTTTAGTTCTTTGAAAAGTGACATGCATAGCTCCTAGGTTAACATGTAGCCTTTGGTTTTGTTCAGAATAAAAAACAAGTTAAACCTGAAAGTGGACGAATTTGAAACTTAAAAGATGTTACACCTGTTCATCTCTAGTTCTGGTATTACCACTTTTAGTCATGCCAAAGCCAACTTGTCCAACACTTATGTCACACCTCTGGTTCCAGGTACAGGAAAGACATCTTGTGCTCGAGTCATTGCTCAACAAGCGGTATGGTTTGTCATGTTTCTTTGATTGGGTTGTTTATGCTTGCTATTTAAGTTTTTTGGTGGAAACTACACATATTCTCTCTTTGGCCTTTTTGCTTGTATCTGTGTTTGGATGTGGATAGTCTGTGACTCTGTGTGATAATCCATTATCCCCCCCTTTTCTCTCACTAAATTAATGCAATTTTTAAATCTCTAGATCATCCACTACTAAGTAGTTGATCAAGTGAGGTTTAAAAGAATTCATAATTGGGCCAAGGTCACTCTACCGGGCTGTAATGTGCATTCATCTAATCACATTAAAAAATAACCTAACATTAGCTAGTCTAACCCATGGAATTATAACCCCCCCCTCTCCCTCTAATATTTTGGTGATGGATTCGTAACAGCCTTCTCACTTTTTAAAGTGCCAGTAGCCACAGAAAAGAATGAGTAAGATATGAAGAGGGGGAGACTGTTATTTTGAGATTGATATTATACTCCATTCGTTAGAAACAAGATTTTGGGGTATAATGAACTTTCTAGAGACTGGGGTAAGGTCTACATACACACACCCCCTTGAGACCCCACTTTTGTGGGATGTTACTGGTTTGTTGTTGTCATTGTCTAGAGATTGGTTATTCAATAGCATATCTTGTTGGTTTATGTCTTCCCACCATTGAGGTGTAAGTTATTGAAAATGATTTAATTAATAGGGATTACAAAGTGTAATATCTTTCTTCTCATTGTTACTTAGAATGATTAGTGTGCGTTATTATGTGGCAGGGTGTCCCACTGTTGTACGTTCCCTTGGAGGTCATTGTGTCAAAATTTTACGGTGAAAGTGAACGTTTATTGGGTAAGGTGTTTTCCTTGGCAAATGAGCTCCCAAATGGAGCAATTGTGTTCCTAGATGAGGTAAAATTTTCACCAAAAAAATTGTAACTTGCAACATGCAGAGTAAAGCCTGAACATATCTTCTGTCCTTTCAAGGCCTTAATGTTTTTTCATCTATTTTTGTATATGTGTGAAGGTTGATTCTTTTGCTACTGCTCGTGATGGTGAAACCCATGAGGCTACACGCCGAATGTTATCAGTGTTATTACGACAGGTGCCACTATATACAAATACTACCATATTAACTTTTCTATGCAGTACTTTTCTTTGAAATACTGCACTGTCTGGGCTTACGGCTTTCTGAATTAGGGTGTTAGGCTGTTACTAAAAGCCTGTTTTGTAAATTCCTTTTTTTTGGCTAATCAGCCTGATGAGTCAGATTTTCACCAATAATGAAAATAATAGTCAATGATTACTTTTTTTATGTATGGCTAATATTATAGGAAATGATATTTAGACCTTTGTTTTTTAAAATATTTTTAAACATTGTTTTTAGATAACTCACCAAATGTAGCCAGTTCTACGTGCCTTACAAAAGGGATGATGATTTTAGATTTTACACCATCACGATACCGGATACTCGTAAAAAATGTTTGATTGGTGCTCTAATTCCTAGTGGTGTTTCCTAGGCATGGTCTTAAGGCTCACGCTTTATGTGCAGATTGATGGATTTGAGCAGGAGAAGAAAGTTGTAGTTGTTGCTGCAACAAATAGGAAAGAAGACCTTGATCCTGCTTTGATTAGGTCTCTTGATGAATATAAATCATTTATGTATCATATATACATTACTACTATCTCTAAATTTCAGTTCATTCCACAGCCGATTTGATGCCCTGATTACCTTCCCCCTACCGGATCAGCAAACCCGCCAGGAAATAGGAGCACAATATGCAAAGCACTTGACAGAATCAGAATTGTCCGAATTTGCCAAAGCCACTGAAGGGTAAGTATAAATTAAACACATTCAAATGTGGGAATAAATAACCTGAATATGAAGACCAAAAAACTCTGAACCGACCAAACCTGGCCCAACCATGTGGTTTCATTACTGGTTTATGGTTTAGGCTCTACAAATTGAACAAAAATGACAATTGAAAACCGGCTTAAGTTGTTGAAGAACGGTTTTTGGTTTGCATTCTTCCTTGTTGTATGCTTACACTGCTTGGATTCATTTAACACCAGATTTTCTGGGAGGGATATAAGGGATGTTTGCCAGCAAGCAGAGAGGCATTGGGCATCAAAGGTATCATCTGGCCACTCATCTATATGACTAGAATTTTACCTTACCAGTTTTTTAAAGTCATACTTTTGTAAAACAAAGACAGGTTATTTGGACTTATAGCTTATTGTCTTCAACTTATTCCTTTTACTTCTTACTTATTCTTATTGGAATCATATCAAATCAGATCAAAAACCATTTTAAATATAATTACATTCAAGTCAGATCAGAAACTAATCAAATCACATCAGAACCAATCAGATAATTTGAAAAGAACAAGCCCTTAATCTATAGTAATTGCTAACGTTTGAACTGATTGACAGATAATAAGAGGTCAAACTCAGAGAGACGAAAAGTGTCCGCTGCCGCCTATTCAAGAATACACTGAAAGTGCCATGACTAGGCAAAGAGCCTTGATTGGTTTGAACCAGCGAGAGGCGGTGCGAAGGAGGAAACCCCAATTTGATTTTGAATAAGTGTTTTTTTTCCTCAGTAAAACTGGCTAGTATAGTGAGTCCATATAAATGTGTATGCAACATTCCTTATGCCTAGTAGTAGCTTACATATAGCAATTCATTAGTTATTACTCGTATTTATTAAAGGCTTTAATTGCATTTTTCATCCATTGTATTGAATATTGATCATGAGATAGATCCATAGTATAAAGACATCTCCGTGTAAATTGTCGCGTAGGAATGCGTTATGGACATCCATTTGATTCATTTCTCACCCTTTTGCCACAACGGGAAGAAAACGATGTACACTTACCATTTTGGAAAATGAAGCAAATGTCTCGTTAAAGTTGAAGCCTTCAATCTCCTCATCCCCTTTTGTACGAAGACGTGTGGTATACTTCAATTGTGGTGCCGAAGTGATACCTGACCTTAGGAGTTGGATAGTTTTGAACTTATTCTTTAGCCTTCTTGACTCGTCACACGTCATATCATTTCTATTACGAAGTACTGTATCACATTACTTATTTACTCTCTCTCTCTCCCATTTTAAATTATCTGTTTGTCTTTTTTCTCCGTCCCAAAGTAAGTTGCCTGTTAGTTGTTTTCGTAAACTTTTAAAAGTAAAATACCTAAACTATTCCTAAAATTAGTCACTCTTCTCCGCCTTATCTTCTCATTCATCGTCACCCCTCCTAAAAAGTAATGATAATTTCAGTAAATCAATTCTATCTTTTTTTCCTTAAATATGCCCAAAAGTCAAAACAGACGATTTAAAACGGGACGGAGGGAGTATTTATTTACAAAAAATTAAAATGTTGCCAACGGAATTTGACTTATTGACATCTTGAAGAACGCAAGTTATGACATAACCGGATGTATAGGAAGAACTGTATAGCCGGTGATAGTTTGTGTTATTGTGAAAGAAGAGCCAATTGATAAACTGAAACCTTAGGTGCGATGAAGAGAGTCGCGACGTCTAGTGCAGAGAGAGAAGTTGGTGGAAGAAGCTAACCGATCGGTGTTAAGTTCTGTAGCAGCATTGGAAAATTCAGAAATTGCACAAGCTAAGCGAGAGTTGGTGGGAGATGATTATTATGAAGGTGAAATTGGGGGTAGCCACACGTATTTCAAATGAACATTATGTTACTCGTAAATAAATAATTTATACTACGTATAATTGTAATGAACATTATTCCGTATATTTTTTCGTGACAATATACTCCCTCCGTCCCCAATTTGATTACAAATTGCGGGTTACGGAGTAAAATTTCTTACTTTTTGAAATCGTTTTATTTACAAATTGGTATATCAATAAGATAAAAAATTACATATTAAAAAACTACGTCAAAAGTTCTACAAAATGAGAGGTGACAAGAATATTTTATTTTATCAAATACTAAATGAAATTGCGTAAACAAACAAAAGTTATCGAAAGGAGAAAAAAAAAATTGTAATCTATTTAAGGACGGAGGGAGTATATTACACTATTTCAGGAAAATAAGTACTCCGTATTTGATTGATATAGATTGAAAATTTAAAAAATACTCCGTATTCAAAATGAATATTCTATTTTCTATCACTTAAAAATAAACAAATTTGTTTTTAAAACAAGAAAGGGTAAAAATTTCCCGGTAGTATTGGTTGGATGCTCCTTGGGTTGCTGCAGTCGCGCACCCAACGGCGGCTGCAAGTCAAGCAAGCGTCCCGGAAACTACTGCACAGCCGCCACCGCAAGACCGCCATGGAGGAGGAGGGGGAGTGGTGTCTCCGAAGAGGGCAATACCTTGGCGAAATCTCCGCACTGTGTTTTCTCCACCTTCCTCCTCGCCTCTCTTCTCTTCCCTATCTTCTTGCCGGTCCTTTTCCCCTTCCGTCTCTTTCTTTCTCACCTAATTTCAGCTGCTATACGCCATTCGGCTGCAAAGCTCATTCCTTTTTGGTTTTCTTTTGCACATTCAGGAACTGGATCTGAGCTTGCTGTCTACGATTTGGGCAGCGGGGACAGAACAATATCCTTCCAAGTTTTCGACGGCATTCGAGTGCATGGAATTTCTCTGGGGTCTTGCGGCGATATGCCGTCTGACTCCACCGCCGCAGCCGCAGCCTTCAGGGTTGCTGTTTTCGGAGAAAGAAGAGTTAAATTATTCGATTTGATTATCATTTCCAGCATTCATTCCGGGGAATCTCTTCAATTTTCATTAACGCCAATTCAGACGGTGCCTAGACTTAGCCATTGGGTTTTGGACGTTGTCTTCCTCTCCTTCAATGTAAGTGTAACCCATCTTATAGCCATTGGGTTTTTGTTTTTCAGATACTAACAAAATAAAACGAGTGCGTTTTTTTTCTCTTACAAACATTGCTTCTCTTTGTTTTTTTTTTCTGATTCTTTTGTCATAGGAGCAGGGGGAGTATGGTCTTGCAATTGGGTGCAGTGACAATTCTCTTTATTTCTGGGACATTTCGAGATGTAAGGTGCTTTGTCAAATAAGCTGTTCAGGTTGGTTCATTTAAGGTTCTTTTATTGAGTGAACTAAACTATATATAAGCATTGTACATTTATCCTTACATATAATAATATGAACTACTATATAGGCATTTGTTATCTTATAAGTTCGATGGAGAGTTTACTTGCTTATTTTTTTTAGAGAGGTGTCTTCTATACTCTATGCGTATCTGGGGGAAGGAAGCTGATTCTCTCCGTGTTGCATCGGGTACAATTTTTAATGAGGTAACTGACATGTACCTCCCTACTAGAATACCAGTACAGAATTGGATACTTTTAAAAAATATGAGCATGTAATCTTGGTATGTGAAAATGTGCATATTTGATTAGCTTTGCTCATGAATAAATTGAACACAGGAACCCATTATCTCATCTCTTCCTGAAATTTGACATGCAGGCTTCTGACATCCTCATCAACTAAAAAGGTTGGGGCCTGTTGGTTGAAACTTGTATGTTGCTTGTAATTCCTTTTGCCAATTCTTGCAAGTTCCATTAGTCATTATCGATTTGGAAACTTACTAAAAGAAACATAGGGAAAAAAACACCACATAATGTGTCATTTGGCTTGCATATCACCTTTTCTGCACTTGTTGCATGCCTCATGATTATAGATGGCCCAAGGTGAACATCAGTGACCCTTTGTGCTAGGAATTTATAGAAATTAATTTCTTCAGCATATTTGAATTCTTCCATTTCAATAATTTGGAACGCATGATTGTCATTTGGCAGGTTATTGTGTGGAAATTGGATTGCAAGACTGACGTTTGTGCTGTTAGCAGTCCTGCTGTAGATCATGTAGACCTAGTTAATGAAAAGGGAAATGTGTTTCCTATTCTGAAATATAAAGCTATTAATTTACACTGGTTGACTGGACATGAAGGATCAATTTTTCGCCTTGCCTGGTCACCAGACGGATCAAAAATAGTATCTGTTTCTGATGATAGAAGGTAAGCGCCTATTGTCTTCTCATGTCGAGTGTCTAATAAAGCACAGTGCAATTTTATGTATAGGGTTCTAATTCCTGGGTGCTGCAGTGCTCGTGTTTGGGCACTTGGGGAGTGCAAGTCTTTGCACAATCTTGCAGGGGGTCCCATTCAATGCCTCAGCTCTACTCTTTTTGGTCACACTGCCAGGGTTTGGGATTGCTGTATTTTTGACTCTGTATGTTTCGGAAATACTTTATGTACTACACTTGAATCCGGCGTAAAACTTTGTTACAATGGTTTTCTGCATATTTTTGGTGTTAACTAATTTTAGAACAGTAATAGCCGCTAAATTGCATGCCCCTGTGTGCAATATAGCTGGGACGACATTGATGAAGACCACTCATTATGATTCCTTATTCATCATGACTTTTTTTCTGAATTATGACCCTTGCTCTCCACTTGGGGGACTCTGTTCAGTTGATTGTTACAGCTGGTGAGGACTGTACATGTCGTGCATGGGGACTGGATGGCACACAACTTGGTTTGATCAAAGAGCACATGTAAGTTACACGACACGCTCGCTATGTGAACTGGAATGTGTTTTTTTAAAACTGATTTTTAATGAAGACCGCTTGTTCAATTTCACATTTGGTGTCCCTTTTATTGATATCTTGTCAGCTTGTTGAGTATCAAAACATCCAATTGCAGCTTTGTGTCTTGACATGCTTATTGGGCCAGTATCTTCTAGCTTACCACCATTTTATTATGCAGCGGACGGGGAATATGGCGGTGTGCCTATGATCCTAGTTTTGCATTGCTTGTTACAGCGGGATTTGATTCTTCCATAAAGGTTCACCAGCTGCATGCATCTCCTGAATGTTTAGGCAAAATTGTTGGAGAACTGAAATTGTCATTTTATGAACCGGAGGCCTTTAGAATCTCTATCCCAAATTCTACCAAACATATCAGCCATATGGATAGGTAGTGGTGTGCCTATGAAATACCTTGTTTAAGATCGGCATAAATTTCTTCCTTCACTTTGAGTTTTTATTTTTATTTTTGTCCATAGTTTAGGCTATTTTAGTAGCTTCTGCACGACCTTCTGATGATTTGGTTGTGGTTCTTCCTTGTTTTTTGCAAACATTTTTTATTTGCATTCATTTATTCACAAATATATCACCATCATCTCATCAGATTGTAAGTGTTAACTGGCTCCTGTTTTGGGGGTGAATATGTTTGTTGTTTGCAGCAAGAGTGAATATGTTCGTTGTTTGCGTTTTTCACGTGAAGATTCTCTTTATATTGCCACAAACAGTGGCTTCGTATACCATGCTAAACTATGTCGTACAGGGCATGTTAGTTGGACAAACCTTTTTCACATTGGGGAGGATGCACCAATAATTTGTATGGACATTCTATCAAATGGGTCTGATCCTTGTGGAACTGACGATTGGGTTGCTGTGGGAGATGGTAAAGGTAGAATGATGATTGCCCACATTGCTGGTGATGTTTTTAGCCCTAAAGTAGATCATCATTCTCTAACCTGGTCTGCTGAAATTGAGAGACAGCTTTTGGGGACTAACTGGTGCAAGTCTCTGGGATTTAGGTACTTAATCTTTCTAAGTTTATAAGGATGTTGATTAATATGTCCATAGGCATTTAAAGCTTGAAAATCTCTTAGGAAGAAAGGCCATGTAGGTAATATCCTATTTCTCAGTGTAAAAACACTGCTTCTCTGACCCATTTTAAGAGTGTGTTCAAGCATGGTAGAAAAGGGATAGGAAGATCTGCTCATGTTTTACGTATATAGCCGTGATTTTAATAGGTACGTCCAAAAAGCACATCCAAGGTTACTGACTTTCAAGTAATGAAAGCAGTACCCATCCATGATTACCAACTTTCAGCCATTAGACTCAAAATAAAGCAGTTATAATTATTCTATCCTGCAACTAATGAAATATTTGAACATTTATGGTTCAATTATAAAAATAAAAACAGAGGTGTATATCTCATATAGGTTCATCTTCACTGTGGATCCTAGAGGGAGGTTGAAGCTTTGGAGGGTATGTAACTCTCTGTCTTCTGCTTCTCATGTCGAGGCAGCTTATCATCCAGAATTGGTTCACGAGTTTGTCTCTTGTTTCGGAATGCGGATCATTTGCTTGGATGCATCACTGAAGGATGAGGTTATTGCCAATTATTTGTTCTCTATGCAGTAATTTTCCAAGTCTATTTACCTCTTAGCTATTTTAATCAAGTCAAAAACTAGAGCAAAAAAGAATCATATCACAAGGGAAAAGGTTGTTCATTACCGATGGAGCTAAAAGAGTCATTATTGACCATGCTTTAGATTTGGGCAGATACAACAACAAGGTTTAATGGAAACATCCTCTGTTTTTTTCAGGGGTAAGACTTCATACATCTTGACCCTAAGACCCCAACGGAGTTGGAATTATACTGGGTTTCTTGTTGCTGTTGCCTTTTAGGTTTAATACGAACTACCAAGACAAGACTCATTATTGTTGTTTTCTTTTGATATTAAGGGTTTTCATATTATTCATAATGCTCAAATCAGTTCAATGTATCTCATATCTACTTATATACAGGTGCTAGTGTGTGGGGATATCCGTGGAAATGTTTTGCTGTTTCCTTTAAAAGAGAATGTACTATATACCGCTCCTATACCTTTAGAAGAGAAAGTATCTCCACAGGCTTATTTCAAAGGAGCTCATGGAATATCAACAGTGTGTAGCATTTCAATCGCTGGATCTATTCCTAGTCAACTTGATATACACTCTGTAAGACTCCTATTTAAGATCTATTATTTTCCATTTGTAATTTCTTTATCTATAATGATGATTCGTACTAACGTTTTGTTTCACTACTAGAATATTTCTGCAGTTTAAATTTTACTGCATTGTCTACTGTACATTTATGTGTTTCTATGGCTTCCAGAGTGGGGGAGATGGATGCATCTGCTACTTTGAATATGACAGGAATCGAAAGAAATTGGAATTTACAGGAATCGAGCAAGTGAAAGAACTGAGCACTGTACATTCTGTCTACTCCAGTGCCAACTATAATGACAATATGCCAAGGGGTAGCTATGCTATAGGGTTTGCATCTTCGGAGTTTATAATTTGGAATTTAAGTTCTGAAAGAAAGGTAAAATCCCCATTCCTCTCACCCCAACATGTAGTTTTTTTCTTCTGTAACTTGTAGTATGTGTGTATTGGAACAGGTTTTACAAGTATCATGTGGTGGATGGCGGCGGCCTCATTCTTATTATCTTGGCCATTCCCCTGAGATGAAGAATTGCTTTGCTTTTGTGAAGGTGTTTCTGTTTCAGTGCTCTACTTTATTCATGTTCTGTTGAGGGATTTGAACTAGGATAGTAGATGATTTTTTGTTCTGGGTTTCTCTCTAGTGCCTAGAACTGGCTAGAAAGAAGTAGGCTACACTGTATGATGTATGTGTGTCACGATTATCTGTGTTGAATAAGGGAGGGATGTGTAGAAAGAGGTCGACAAATGTTTCACTTGAGAGCAAATGGGCACAACAGTTATATATAATGTATATGCATATAAAACCACCCTTGGATTAGTTTTGCAGGGACATAGCAAGTGGATGTCTGTCCAACTTTTGATACTTCTAGCAAGTTCTTATTTGTTCTTCTTTGTACGAGAGCGTTTGTGTTTAATGCGTGTGATTGCTTTACATGTGCCCATGCTGGACAGCCTGGATTATAACATGGCATTGGCTTTTGCAGGATGGAATCATTAATATTCAAAGGTACTGGGTGACAGAGAATGAGAGGAAGATGTACCCAAAAAGTTTGCATTTGCAATTCCATGGAAGGGAGATACATTCATTATGCTTTATTCAGCCATCTTGTAGTCCAAATGGAAAGGGGTGTTACTCTTTTGAGTCTAGCTGGATTGCAACAGGTTGTGAAGATGGAACTGTGCGATTGACAAGGTGCAATAGCTCTGTTTTCTTTTTTAAGCCGTATTTGTTTACCTTGAGTAAATTTGCTGCCTTGAATTTTTATCATACTTGGAAGTCATACTCCTTGTGTCCCAGTTTAGTGTTTTCCTTTCTGCTCCGTCCCAATTTATCTCTCTCGTTGCATAATGCATACATCAACACCACATGTCTTTCACTTTCTTAATCTCTGTGCTGTCAAAGTGGGCAACATAAACTGGGACCAATAAACAAATATTTTATGATTATTGCAATGTTGTGTTTGTGTATTTTAACTGTCGTTTTCATTTACAATGAAATCCTTTTTGGAGATCAATGTTTGAAAGCCATCTGCTTATAAGTTTAACCCACAGAATACCACCCTTAGAAATAAAAATTAAGTCAAGTTTGCTAAAGGGCTTAGTTACCTTCTTATACGTTTTAAAGTATCAATTACTGCAGTTGAAATATGAAATAGTTCTTCAGCTCCACTAAGTTTGAGATATGGGTTGTTGGCACACATATTAAGAAGACGTGGAATTGTGTACTTGATATTGAATATGTAAATTATGGATGGTTTTGGTCCACACAACTATAACAAATTTGGGATGGGATAAAAATGATAAAAAAGAGACAAAAATAGGGGGATGGGTGGAGTATGTCATAGCTTTTGTTATAGGTCTGACCAGAGCTTGCTCTTCTAACCTATATATATGGGATATTTGTAAGTTGTAGCCATGAAAGTGCAATCCCAAACACAATTCTTTCCTGTCATCATCAAGCTAGTTAACATGCTATTAGAAATTTAGACCGACATTAGTGGTCTGGTTTCAGAGGTGAACACTGCAATTCACTTTAAAAGAAAGTTATGTTTTTCAATGAATCCCTAAGGGTATTATATTCACAAAAGTGAAGCATCAGGTCTGTCAGTGCATGTGTAGTGTGTAGTAATACTAGTAAAATGTGCTGATGGTGCTATTGCAATTCGATTATCACTTACTTCTCAGGTATGAACCAGAAACTGAGAGTTGGTCAGTTTCCATGCTGCTTGGAGAACAAGTTGGTGGATCAGCTGTGAGATCATTATGCACCCTTTCAAAAATTCATAGAATATTGCTGAAGGCAACTGATGTGTCTGAAAGTGTTCACAGACAAATGGGAAACTCAGAAGACCAGGACAATCTTGTGTTACTGGTATCAGTAGGTGCAAAAAGAGTAATGACTGCATGGAAACAAAAACCTAGATCAATATATGAAACAATAGAATCCCAATGCTGTGAACATGATAACAAAGGTGGAGACACCTCTCGTGGTTCCCCATCATCAAAACATTTTTCTCTCCTTTCATTCCAGTGGCTTTCTAGTGATATGCCTGCCAGAAAAAACAACTGCTTGCGTGAAAATACTAAGAATATAATTGAAGCTGCCGAAAATGACACACCACTTTCATCGGAAGACAGGAAGATGGAATCAAAACTTGATAGATGTGAAAATGATTGGAGATATCTTGCAGTTACTGCATTCCTTGCTAAAGGATCAGGCTCAAAGTAAGTACACCCACGATTAGCTCCTTGTTTAATTTGTACTTAAGTGTACTTCTGAAACTAAATGAACACAGTTCCATCTTCAGGGCAACAGTGTGCTTCATAGTTGTTGCCTGTTCAGATGCAACACTTTCATTACGGGCTCTGATATTACCCCATCGACTTTGGTTAGCACGGTTGACTGTTCCTCTTATAGTTTTTAGTTTCATCTTCTCCTTAAACTGCAAAAATCAAGATGGTGCGGCTTATCTTTAGTCCAAATTTATGTTGCTTATGATTTAATAATTGTTAGGTTTGATGTTGCTCTGTTGACTCCCTTATCATCTCCAGTTCTAGCTTTGCAGCATGTCATAGTTCCCAAACATTTATTATCTGAAGGTTAGTTCACCACAAGCACAATCTCGGCAGTTGTCCTGGAACTTGACTACCATCTTTTCTTTTGTTTTATTATCCCATCATTGCTACCTGATTAGTACTCTATCATCATTTTTGCTATATATTGTTGATTTTGTTAACATTGTTCAGTTGATTGCAATGTGGGTTAAACAGACATCATTCAAATGGGAAATCTGTATATTGTAATCAGTGGATCTACAGATGGAAGTATTGCACTTTGGGATCTCACCGAGCATGTCGAAAGCTTTATGCAACTATTGCCTAGTCTTGAAATGGTAGAAAGTATAGACGACCAGAAAAGACCCCGCACAGGCAGAGGAAGTCAAGGTGGACGATGGTGGCGATCACTTGGCAGTCACGTCTCCAAGAAAAAAAGTGCATGTGGTGAGTGATTGCCAAGTGAATAAAACTATGTGACAATGAAAAGGGAATTTGATATGCCTTTTCAAAACTATGTTTCCACACCTAACAAGACATGTGTCTTTTGTTCTCAAGGTAATGATGATGCACCATCAGTCTATATGAAAGAGAAGAAAAGGAACGTCTCGTCCCTGGATATCTATGAAATGGGACCCCTGCATGTCTTTAACAATACGCACCAGTCAGGGGTAAACTGTCTTCATGTTTCAAATGTCACCATGCTTACGGCTTCTGATTCAGTGTTTAGGTTCTGTGTTGTAAGTGGAGGTGATGATCAGTCACTTAGCTGTCTTTCATTTGATTTCACTTCTATCGAAAATTTGGAACTTTCAACTTTGGAACATATCGTTTCTTTTCAACTTCAAAGCTATCAAATGAGGCTTGTATTGGTGGATAAGATCCCTTCAGCTCACTCGTCTGCTGTTAAAGGTATGCAATCCCCACATTACTTATGTTTTCTTTGGCACATGCAATTGAATTCTATTGTTCCTAATGTGTGTGTGTGTACAGGTGTTTGGACAGATGGTAGATGGGCATTTTCAACGGGTCTTGATCAACGCGTCAGATGTTGGAAAATGGAACAAGGGAAACTAATAGAGTGCGCTCATCTTGTGATTAGCGTGCCCGAGCCAGAGGCATTGGATGTTAGACCTCTTGACAGGTAACCCTTTTCAAATACCATTCATTCAAGCGCATTTTCTGACTCAAGTCTTTTTGGGAAAAAAAACTAAACTAGGAGTAACACATTGAAAAAGTACCAAAATAGGAGCTCCATGTTTTTATTCCCAAAATAGGAGTTACAATACCAAACATATAATACCAAAAAAGCATTTTGCAATGCCAATATACAGTGTCACATTATTAGAGTGCAAATTACTATTTTGAAGATAAGAACATGAAACTCTTATTTTCAGATAAGAGTTGTGTTCTACTCCTATTTTGGGTGATTTCTTAAAAACAGGCACAGTGCATGTGGTTCCGGATTGGAAGAACCAAATGCCTTCTTTCATTCTTTCTGAGACATTATTCTCGATCCATCATTTACGGATACATAATGTGCACCCGCAGGAACCGTTATCAGATTGCAGTTGCAGGCAGAGGCATGCAAATGGTTGAATTCTTTGCGCTCGGCCGCACTCAATAATACTCCGTAATATGCATCTTCTCCAACTCTTTGGGTTCAACCGTTCAACTAGGTCGGCTCAGTCGACCCTGCCCCTCCGGCAGGACCTTGTACTTGGTCACTAGATCATTTGTTTACAGATCGAATGTTAGTCTGTCATCTACTACAATAGTTACAGTAATATTCTCATTTTACAGGTCTTTTGTTTAATATAGTCATTTTACAAATCTTTTGTTTTATGCGGAGTACTTCTTTCGTCCCTAAATAGCTTGCATCAAAGCCAACACGAGGCTAAATCTAAACTTTTACAATTCAGTTTTTTTTATAAAATGGTACTCCCCCCGTCCCAAATTATAATGTATGTTTACTATTTACATGCTCAAACTTTATTCACTTTCTTTCTCTATTTTTGTTAGTAATTTGATAAAATAAAGTACTATTGTCACTATTAATTTTGTAGATCTTTTGATGTAGTATTTTGATATGTAATTTTTAGTTTTTTAATTCTATACCATTTGTCATATAAAATGATTTGAAAACAATTTCAGTCAAACATTATAACCAAAACAGGCACTATAAATTGGGACGGAGGGAATATATCTTTACTTGGAGATAGAAATAATAGATAAGAAAAAAGTGTAGCGAGACGATTGAATAAAAAAGAATAATGCATGGGTTAAATTTTTTCAATTTTAAGTAAGGAAACTAATTTGATTATTTTAAAACAATAAATTAACCTCTATGATATTTTGCCCAAGATAAAAATACACAAGTACTCTTTTCAATGTTTCAAAGTTAAGATCATATTTATCACTTTTTTTTGGAAAATAATATAGAACTAACGGTAGTCTTTTTAAATCAAAATCTAAGAACCCACATTTAAGTACTCCATATTTAACTTGAATAATTTTTCGAACCTTTTGAATTCAAATAGACAAATGGATCAATAAAAGATGTGATTTCTATTCAATACGTTTCTTACATGTACGTTTTTATTACACTTGGAAGTGGAGAGAGTACATTTTCAATCACAAATATTAAAAAATGACAAACGACACCTAATAATTGCAATTTGTCGTTGGAATTTAAAATCCAAAATAAAGAAAACATCCAATTGACATACGGAGGGAGTATGATTTATCAAATCAAGTGACTTGTATTCATAACAAAGTTAGGGTTTTGAACAGAATTTGCAGTGGCCATATGATGTCGTGGAACTATTTTAAGACCGTGACAATTGACAGCTGGCAAACGGGTGTTTGGTGACAAAGATGAGTAGGTCCATTTTATAAGATGAGATGCAACAACAACAACCCAGTTGAGATAGCCGTAGCCAAATCGGAGGGAGTTGGAAATGCAAAAAGGACTAAGGAGTCTTTTTTTGGACAAACAAGCATGCAAGTATGTGATCTCCAAAGTCAAATCTAAACAAACCAAACAAGCCTAAATCTTTTCAAAAAAGAACCAAAGTAAATTCAATAAATAATCTTTTATATCATTGGGTTTTCCATATATAGTTCTCAATTATAACTCTATGGGGTTTGTTATATGGAAAACCCCATGCTATAAAACATTATTTATAAAATTTACTCAAAGAACAATGTAAAAGTTGAACACAAAGATTTGCTTAGTTCGCGTGTGTTAATGCTTGTCGTCCTTGGGGATATCTTTCTTGGGTATCTCCTTGGGTTTTGCTTTCTCCATCTCCCTAACAAAAAGAGAAATATGCATATCAGATGCTTGACAACATTAAGGAAAATTTGCAGCACATGCTCTCAAAGAAACAATATGGAGTAATTCACAGACTCCTAAAGAGTGTTTATATTTACAGGCCAATAACACTATAACCCTAAGTAAAAATGCATCTATCCAATTAATTGTTTTTAATGTGTCAAGTTTGGACATGCACTTTATTGGTATTGTGGACTAAATATTAGCCCCTCCCACCAAAAAAAGTGTTTATGAGGCAGGATACAACCATTTTACCTGTGGTTAAGTCCCACTCTTGCAAGTCATACATCTTACTTATATTTATATTTCTTTTCTTTTCTTTTGGTAAATTGTAGACAAGAGACTTCCCATTCTGGATTTGTTTGTCCAATTTACCATTTTTGGGTGTCCGGGATTAATTGCCTAACCATTTTTAGTAAACAAACTATTGAGCATGATCACAATTACCCTTATTTCTTAAATGTGAATTATTTTGAAAAGTAAAGTATATTGTATACTCAACTGAGTTATATTTGCAAACCATAAAGGATTGAAGTAGCGGTCCATGAAAGGAGAATCGATATGTAAAATGCATACACACACAAGCAATGAGAAAGGCAATAGTCAGAAGCATACTTGGTGACAGAAACAGATTCTTCCTCAAGCCAGTTGCGAATTTGGCGGGCATTGCGGCGGAAAATGGCAGCAGATTGCTTGACATCAGTCCTCATCATCAGAATGACGGCACTAACTCCAACCACGGTCAGTACAAAGTTGGTAAGTGCCATTCCTTCTTGAAAGGCTCTTCACCCTCGAACTGTTTCCAATGAATAATAAGGCTATGCATGTTTTTTGAATGTGATATATTAAGTGGGTGTTTCTCTAGTATTATAAGTTGGTCAAATTTTTTTATAAGTTGTTCTTAACTTATAAGTGAGTTGATAACATGTTTCTCTCTGCTTATAAGTTGCTTATAAGTCAAAATATAAGTAGGTCTTACCTACTTATTTTTAAAAATGTTTTTTTGTTTCTCCATTTTGACTAAATCATTTACAAAACTATCTCTAACCTCTTATGAATATCCTCTAATGATTCATCTCTCATTTAAGCATAAGTTAAAAACTACTTATTAGCAATAAGCCAATAAGGACCAGGACAAAAAAACACCCCCTAAATTGTGCAAATATGAAGTTTGATTATGTAGGATGCATGTTTTGTGAATGTGATATATCGAGCTATGAATGTATGAAATATAGTTGAGTTCTGAAACAGAAATATGAAAAGGTTTGTCACACACGGGAAAAGGGACCTTTAATACAGATATACTAACATATTTTAATAAGACCTTACTATACAGGTGGACGATGTCCTAGTGGATTGGCTTATAATCACACCATGGGCATAATCATGCAAACCCCGGGATGACCTTGGGTCTAGGGTTTTTCAAACCGGGGTAGGTCCAAAAGTGACTAGGCGGTGTTCTAGCATGTAGATACAGCTTCTATCTAAAATCATAACTTAATGCACGGGTCATTACACTTGAAGAGTAATGCAGTTAATACAATTAATATGATTTATACGGTGAAATTGGCACCACTGATTTGATAAATAGTTGTTCAATCTAACTTTCAACGGAATCAGCATGCATAAATTCTATTACAAGAATTAATTACGGTAAACTGAATATGAATTTACTAGGTAAAAAAAACTAGCTCAAGCATATTTCAGACACAAAGCTCAGAAATTAAGAAAATTAGATCACTGCTCAAAACTAGGGTTTCAACTAGAAGATATGTAACTGAGACACACAAATTCAAGTCCTTAACCCAAAAATTGGGGATTTCAATTAAAACACAAAATGCGGAATACTAAACAAACTTGAAGGTTGTTCGAAGTAAAGTTCAATGGACTGGAATTAGGGAACCGGTAGGATCGAATTCAACAGACCTTAAGCTGAAAATTTTATGAAAAGAAGAGTGAAATGCGATGAAGATCGAGAATAAGGTTGTGAAAATCGAGTTGGGGTTTCTATCATACCGAATACTTCGAAAAAGATAGCGACTGGAGATGACAAAGAAGGATAGAGGACGGCGAAGCACGACGGAGACGAGGGCGGGCGCGCGACGAGGCGTGAGGAACGGGAAACCTCCTCGGTATTTGCGGTATACGTTTCCTATATGATTTGAGAAAAGTGGGTGGATTACCACCACCGGGCCGGGCCATATGAACTTGACCCATCTCTATTTGGATTTGAAATATACTACGAATACACTAAAAAAATACTTTCTCAGATTCTAAATTTTTTCGTATTTTGATATTTTCTAACAAAAAGGGATACTCTTTAATCATAAATTAAACGTAATCTGAAAAAAAATTATATATAAATTTGATATATCAAAACCATATCATAAAATGAATCTAATTATATTTAATTTATATTATAATTAAATATATTTTTCTTATAATTTATGGTAAAAAAGTATCACTGTTTGATCAAAAAAATCAAAACAGGAAAGGATTTTAGAACTAGAGGGAGTATATCCCAATTATACTCCAGTAGATCTCAACCATACAATCCTACTTTAGATTTTAAAAAAATTAATAAATAGATACAGAATGTAAGATAATTATAATTGGCTTACATATACTTCTTTGGGTTTTGGGCTCAAATTCCACAATATTAAAAAAAGGTAAAACACCGGGCACCCTAACCTCACAACATTAATTTTTTTAGTATTATTGATTCGTAATTTCAATTTAATGACACACATAGAATCAAGTCTCGTTTGGTACATTGAATTCAAACTATGGAATTAGAATTGGAAACTTCAATTCCAATTCTAGTGTTTGGTAGCACAAAAATTATGTGGATTTGGAATTGTTAGTGCAAAAATGAATTGAAATTGACAGAATTTAATTCTATGGAATTGAATTCCATGGAATTTCAATTCCAATTTAATTCCAATTCCACCAATTCCTTATACCAAACGGACCCTCAATGTTTTTGCTTCCGATGAGACTCGAACTTGGTGAACTTCTTCATAAATCTTGTGAGCGGGCTTCCTACCACTCAAGTCAGAAAAAAATTCTTCTGGTATTGTTTTAAAAAAAAGATTAAAACACCTACTCATCCTCTCGCCACCCCCGACCTGATGGAGTAGTGATGTTAATCACAATATAATTTTAATATGGTCATTCGAGAGGCATTTTTGTACCCATGCCCACAAGAGTATAACACATTGGATAAAAATCGTACACTACTACTCCAGTACTCTTGAGAATTGATTGTGAGACCCCAGACTTAATCGATCCAAATTGAAATTTGGTGGATAAAGGGATCAAACGTTTCCGCCCGTTGCTGGACAAGGGGATCAAATTTGCACAGCTTAACCCCTATATTTGTAACAACTATGCTATTGTTACCCCTCCCCCCCCCCCAACGAATATACCACATTCCATACACCAGTGATTTACACTATGAAAGCACTGGTATGCACTAGCATAGAATGCTGCTGTGATTGATAGTGCTTTGCACTGACATCATGTGCTAGTGTGTATCAATGTTTTGTCGGTGTAAAACATTGGTGTACACTAGTGGGGTGCAAATAACACAATTTTATTTGTAAACAGAACTATTAATAGATGATCTATGATAAGCGTTAAAAATTATACATGTACTGTTTAATTGTTACGGAGTACTTTACTATTGAAAAAGGTACAAATAATTCAAAATGTTCATTTTACTTTATTTTGTCGCACCCAAAACAAAAAAAGTGATGACTGAGTTCAGAACCCTAATGTCATGCTAGGTCTCTAAAAATGCACACTATATGGGATTGCACTCTCAATAATCAGTCGTGCTTTTACTGGAAGGAAGAAAATACTCAAAGTAAGGAGTGAGTTCAAGACTATGCCTATAAATGTAGATGGGTTTGGAATAAGTGGACTATTCCCAAGCATCAATTCAATCTTTGGCTAATATTTTTAAACAGAATCCAAAAAAGAAGTAGATTGAATAAATTCTTTACGTAGGATGTAACTTGTGCTTTGTGTGGTGATTTGATGGAAGACGCTGATCACATATTTTGTTGCTGCTCAATTACATATGAGGTGCTACAAGAGATTTGGTTAGCAAATCTCTTGGTATAATATGAGATGCTACCATAAATTCACGTTATTATAAATTATTTGGTTATAAATTTGAGGCTCAAACAATTGATGAGATGTTTCAATAGTAGAAGAAAATCACACCTAGAACGTGGAGGATGTTTATAATAGCTGTTTGTTCTGCGTATTGTTATTCTATTTAGCAAGTAAGGAATAAGAAGATTCTTGGAGGTGAAGTGCTTAAAATAGATGGTGGCGTGGATCAAGATGCAAACTAATACTTATATTATCAAGAATTTTAATGTGCAAGTAGATGTTTGATGTTTTTTTAGTTGGTTGATGTAAGCTTTAGATGACCTGATTGGTTTCGTGATAACATTATTTGCATTGGTTAAAACACAAAAAAAAAATACATACGGAGTACAACTTATAATTTAGGGTGGAAGCATGTTGATATAACACTTTATTTGGAAAATGAATTTTCGGATATTTTTGGCATTTTTATTTGACTTTGGCATTTTCGACTAATTAAACAGCTAAAATTGGAATTTGGCTAATAGCTTTTTCACTTGGTTATTTGATTCGAAAAGCCAAAAAAAAGTACTCCCTCCGTTTGGAAAAACCCTTCCCGTTTTGATTTGGGGAAAAAATAAGGAAGTGTTAAATTATAGTTAATTTCTAATTTTTCCCTTAATGTGATGGGTAAAAGTAAGATGTGATGGATAAATTATTAGAGGAAAAGTATGATGTGATAGGTAGGGTATGAAAAAGTAAGGGTAAAAGTGGTTTTTTAATAGAAAAGAGAAGTGTTTTGTTGAAAGTGGAAAAAATGAAAGAGGAAGTATTTTTGAGAATGGAGGGAATGGCTTTTAGTTAGGAAAATGAATTTTTTAAAATTATTTTTCTTGAAAGATATTTAATATTATATGTAAAAAAAGTAAAAACTAAAATAACTAAAATTTAAAAATTTAAAAATCAAAATAAATCTGATGAGAAAATTAAAAGAAAAAAAGTCACTAAAAATTAATATAGTAATGATTTATATGAAAGTGAAATTTAGTACTCCATATATTAAAGATTTAATTTTTATATGTACAAAATGAAAAAAAATATTGTATGCCTGTATGTGTGTGTGTGTGTTTTTAAATCTTTATTTTCAAATTAGCTATTCAATTAAATAGTGTCAAGAAAATGAAATCCTTTCATTTCTCTTTCGGCAAGTTTGCAGCTGGAGGTAAGGGGTAATGTCTTCGCGCGATAAGAAACCCTCCAAGTCCTCCAGCGGCACCGGCCGGATCGGCGGCATCAGAACTCTCTCCGATTTGAATCGACCGTCAGGCCATGACTCGGATAGCGACTCCGATGGCCCCCAAGAGTACTACACTGGTGGTGAAAAAAGGCAAAGTTTCTCTAACACTGCCTCCCTCTTTCTTTTCTCACAAATTCTTGACTGTATCGACTTTATTCGAATTTAATTTATGGTCTTGATTGTCATTGTTCATCCGATTGGGTGTTAATTTGAAATTTATGACCATTTCTTCTTCTTCTTCTGCGACAATGAGCCTCTAATTGAGCTGTTTGCTTGGACTGTAGTATGATTTCTGTTGATTTCGGTATCATTATATCTATTTAACCTTAGATCCATTTACTTTAACTAAAACCTCCGAGAACCAAGGAAAAAATTTACTGGAGAAAATTGGATGTTCTCTGTGGATTTAGCAGCTTGTTGATGTGAAAGAAATTCAGTAGTAACGTATAGCTCAATAAGAAAGAATTTTTAAAAATGTCATTTTCCGTCCCCGCCCCCACCCCCGCCCCCGCATATGTACCTGCACCCGCCCCAGTGCAACCTAGTTTGTTAGAGTAAATCTTTATTCATTCGTCTCTGCAATGTATCACTACTACCTTCATTTTTTTGTAGATCAACCATTAATCATTCTCTCATAGTAGTATTGGCATGAATCATAGTTGTAATTATGTACAACCATATACTCCCTTCGTCCCAGAAAAAGGTTCCAAATTACTAATCACATGGCTAAATCATATCTTATTTCTTTACATGTTTTCATTGATCAATCATTCATTTGATAAAATAAAACAATCATGACATTCCGTGGCTTGTACAACTTTTGATTTAGTTTATAAATATATAAATTTTATTTTTAAATCTTTCACAAAATTTCACATGAAATAAAAATAGCTCCAATCAAACACCGTAAACCAAAGCATGAACCCTTTTTCTGGGACAAGGGGAGTGAGTATATGTTTACCTTCTTTTTATATAAGTTTCTCCTTGACATTTTATCCAAAATTTGTCAAACTCATTTTGCTCCAAAAAGTATCATTTGTAAACACAAATCAATTTCCAACTTCCTTTTTGTAAGAGACTAAGAGTCTACTTAAAACAAAATTTTCCGTTCACACATACACGCACAAATGTTTTCTACTACCAAAACCAATCTCTGCAAATATAAAGGGATTTTCTATTAGACTATTACCTAATCAGATGTGATCCCATATTCCAGCAATTGTGATCTTTTCTAAAGAGTCAGAATTTTGGACTCTCAGAAGTGCTTGTTTGCCCGTACCATTTTTTTGAGCTAGGGTCTTTTGGAAACAGCCTCCCTACTTTCAAGTAGGGGTAGGGCCTGCCTACACTTACCTCAGACCCTACTTATTCTTTTGGGATTCTACTGGGTAGTACTAGTAGTTTCCAATGCTACAAGTGGCACAGATGAGGATGCTAAGGTGGATGTGTGGTCATACAAAGATGGCTAAGATCTCGAATGAGGTTCTCCGGGGCAGGGTGGGAGTGGTGACTGTGGTCTATATGGAGGATAAGCCGGAAGAAGCCAGATTGAGATGATTTGGGCACATATTGAAGAAAAGGAGAAATGCCTTAGTGAGGAGGCACGAGGGGTTTGAGGTATAGGGCGCAAGGAGGGTAAGAGGAAGACCAAAGAAGAATTCGAATGATGTGATTAGACAAGACTTTCAACTTCAAGATCTTACTAAGGATATGACTTTAACTAAGAGTATATGGAGGTCTAGTATCAGGGTGGTAGGGTAAACTTTTGGGCCTTAGTTTGTAGTTTCAGCAGGTGTGTTGTTGTGTCTAAGTTTGCAATTTTTGTGTCTGTGCTTGTTTTTGTTTGCATTCTTACTTTCCTCGTGTTGTGCCACTTTCCTTTATCATTGTGTTCCCGTGTTTTGAGTGAGGTGTCTCTTGGAAACACTCTCTATTTTTCAAATAGAGGTAAGGTCTGCATACACTCTCTCTCTTCAGACCCACTCTCTGAGATTTTTGTTGTTGTTGTTGTTGTTGTTGTTGTACTACTTTCCAACATAAACCAAATAAAAATCTTGAATTTTATTCCAATATTTGAGCAATATATTAGTGCTGACTGCTGAGTGCTTCTGTATGGCTGTCTTCTTGGTTGATAGGCTTGAAGTATTGATGCTTAACAAATAGTATCATGATGCATGAATGCCTTTTTTAGATTAAAAAAAGGCAATGCATAGCATATGAATTTATGGATGAACATAATGTTGCTCAAGTCTTGGAATTATTTTTCGAACCTTTCACTTACATAGTATCTGTTCAAAGCTTTTCCTGGACTTTTGCTAGTCTCAAAATATGCCAAGTGTTTTATCATTCTACTGACGTTATTGTGGTATCTTTTCTCTGCAGTGGAATGTTAGTGCAAGATCCTTCAAAACGTAATGATGTGGATTCAATATTTGATCAAGCCAGGCAGCTAGGAGCAACACAAGGTCCTCTGGAAAATCTCCGCCCTTCTTCAAGCTCAACACGATTCACTGGGATTGGGAGAACACTAACTGGGGAGGCAGCTCCACCTACTCCCCCTCAACCACCTGAGTCAGTTGTGCACAATATCGTGTTTTGGAGGAATGGTTTTACTGTAAATGGTGGTCCCTTGAGGAGGTTGGATGATCCTGCAAATGCTCCTCTTATAGAGGTAACATTAACCTTTTCATGGACTAAAATTAACAACAGATTATTTGTCTAGGTTGTACAAAAATTCTATCCTACAACTGTAGATACAAGCATACTATACATACACCATGAATTAGTGAGCTATTTGTTTCTGGTTAGTGAACATATAAGTTTTCTTTTGTGTTTAGTGATTGTGTAGTACTTCAGTTATACCTACGGTTGTACGTTATAGCAGCTTGTTGTTATAAGCTAATTTGTGTTGGTATTTAGAACGGTGTATTTACTATTTTGTTTCCTAGAAGCCATTTTGTGCTTCACAACGAACACTTAATACACGTGATTTTGCATTTTTACTTGATTGTTTCGTATACCCTTACCCAAGATTCACTTTGATGACATAATAATGTGTTCAGCAGCATATTTCGTTAGTTCTATTATATCTTATCTAATTTGGTTGCAAGCTGTTGTGTTTTTTAATGACAATGCTTGTTATGCACTCCAATGCTACCTTGATCAGCTTAGAAACTTCATTGTGTCATTTGCAATCATCACTAGTGTTGAAAATGTTTTCTGCATTATAATGTAGTAACGACCTTATATGCAGAGCATTAAAAAATCTGAGTGTCCTAAAGAACTGGAGCCTGCAGATAGGAGGACCGTCGTCAATCTTAGTCTCACGAGGAGGGAGGAGAACTGTCCTGTTAAGTAACTCGCCGAGTACCATCCATTTATTCCTTTTGAATTTCTGCCAACTCTCTTTTTCTTTTTCAAAACTAGGAAAAAGGCTTGGGGATCGCCATTCATTCCTCTTGTTATTGAGCTTCCCTTCACGTTTCGGATTACGATATTTGATTAAAGTTATTTTCAATTCAATATAATTTAAAATTGGTTTAGAATTAAATTGTGAAAAGTATATGTATTTTATTTAATTAGGAAATAGTGTAAAAAAGAAGATATAGGCCTTGTCTGGTAACAATGTTGTCAATTAGCATTAGCATTTTGGTTCATTTTTAAATAGTGCATATTAACTTTGAAAATGTTAAAATCAAATTCTGTCTTTTCAAAACGCTTACACTAAATTGTGAAGTTGTTGCCAAACACACATAGTTTGGCCTGAACCTTATTTTGGGACGGACGGAGTATTTACTACTCTATCCAGTAGCAAATGAGTATATTTTTTTGTGGCCTTGCTCGCTTTTGTTGAGAAAATGATGCATCACCTACACACACACACACAACTCACTCCGAAAGTATGCATTTTTTCTCTCTTCTGACCTCCTACTTCCTGCAGGAAGCAGAGTCACACAACAGTGCACCATTTCAGGGTGTAGGAAGAACTCTGGGCAGCAGCTCCAGCCCAGCAAGCAGTGAGCCAACTGCCCTTAACGCTGCTCCATCTCCTTCAATGGGCTTAGTAGTCGACGAATCATTGCCCTCAACTACAGTTCAAATAAGGTTGGCTGATGGGACCCGCATGGTTGCCCACTTCAATAACCACCATACTGTTGGTGACATACGCGCCTTCATCGACGCATCCAGGCCAGGCGGAAGCCGGGCTGCTTATCAGTTGCACACTGGTTTTCCACCCAAAGTCTTGAGTGACACCACCCAAACCATAGACGAAGCTGGACTGTCCAACTCTGTGATCATACAGAAGTAAATCTTCAACTCTCTGTCCAACTCTGTTTTATATTATGCCTGCATCTATATTTACAAAATTAAGTGTAAAAATTATTCTGACAAGTTGAGTTTGGTATGGATGTTCTTTGTGAATCAAGCCATTCTTTGGGCTTGGATATGTGGTGGATTGTTTTTGCTTTATAAATTAAAATTAAAGGCTGGGCTTGGCTGGGCTGCTAATGAATATGGTGCCGGGCGGCCTCTCGACATTAATATAGTAAAATCACAGCCCATTACCTCTCAAAATGTCATGTTTTAAGTTCTGAACCCAAACTGGAGTTTGTTGGATGCATATGGTTAAGTAATTGAATAGGGAGTAAAAACTTCAAGTATACTCGAATATCAATTAATTGATCCTATTTCTAGGCGTGAAAAGGCAGTATTTATAGAACGAGCAATGCTAGTGGTACCCCTAAATGAGACATTAATTGTACACTAAGCCTTTTAAAAACAGATGCATAATGCCTATGCATACACAAACATTGTGTGTTTGTGTGTGTATGTGAAAGTTTAGTGTACAAATCAGATATTCTATTTTGGTATACTTTTAGGTTAATTCTTATAAAACACATAAAACAGTTGCAATCTTTTTAACACCACTCTAGTTTTTTTTTGTGCATTTTAAAAATACACGGAAGGTTACATATTGTACAATTGTACGGGGTACATCCTAACCCTCTAGATTCAACCAAAATTGGAATTATACTTTTGTTATTAGACTATATGCAACGCTTAGAGTGGCTCTTCCCACAAGCGAGCATAAACAACACGCCACATAGTTTTTCATTCATCCTTTCTGCAAACACTTTTTACTCTTAATGTCACTGTCATATTCATCATTCCCGCATGCATCATCATTAATTCCATTGCCATTTATTGTTTCATTAATGATATTTTGATAAACTTTCACATTTTTCAACTATGTTTAAAAAATCACAAAAAGTCAAAACGAAAACATTTTAGGGGGGACGGAGAGAGTATTATTAGTGATCTATCCATAATAAGAGACAAAAAAGAATATAAAAGTGGAGTGGTATAGGAGTATTTGACAAGAAAGTGTAAGGGAGCATATAGATGTAATTAGTCAAATCTCCCATAATCTCCGAAGAAGAGAAACCTCTACTTAAATTAGGGTTTACATTATATATATATATTCTTGGAGATGACTTCTTTAATTTCTTGTTTTCCACTTTTTTTTTGGTGTTCACTCCCTAATACTTTTTTATATTTAAAATTCAATCACAAACAAACAACCCACCAAATAGTATATATCACTATCATTAAAACACACAAACACACTTCCAACTTTTTTTTTGGGGGTGCATGCGGCCTCCCAAACGAGTCGCATCAATTAGCCAGTCTCATAATTAAGCTTTATATTGACCCTCCTTTGTTTGTTTGTTTTTTCTTTCTTTTAGTTGACATTAGGAGGTCAACACTTGCGATCTGATTTATTCTACATCCATCAAAGTCATTAACTAATCAATCTTAATTATATTCTTCTCACTAATTAATTAATATTATATTTCTTAATGATATATAAAACTCAAACGTGCATTCTCATCACCATTCATCAACATATACATACTATATACTCCCTCCGTTTCTTAAAACCCTTCATCTTTCATTTTTTTGTTTTTCTTTAAATACTTCCTTTTTCTATTAAAAAACCACTTTTACCCTTATTTTTTCATACCCTACCTATCACATCATACTTTTTCACTAATAACTAAACTATCACATCTTACTTTTACTTATCACACCATGGGCAAAATTGGAAAGTCAACTAAAATTACACTTTCCTTATTTTTCCCCAAAGTCAAAACAGGAATCGTTTTGAGAAACGGAGGGAGTATATACACATTTTTATTGATGAGAAACTAATTAAATAAAATACTAATTAATTACCAATTTAAATAAATAATCAAAGCAAATATATTCATGGGAGTTGAAATCTAAACATAAATCCATTATATAGAATTCAAGATGGTGGCATGCATTGAACGATTGGACTGGAAAAAAAGAAAAGCAAATTGGGCTGTCGGCCAAAAGCTAAGAGATTTATGCATAATCTTTGAGGCCCCGTTTAGTACACGAAATTCAAAGTATGGAATTGGAATTGAAGACTTTAATTCTTATTATGGTGTTTGGTAGCACAAAAATTATGTGGATTTGAAATTGATAGTGCAAAATATGAATTGAAATTAGTGAATTCAATTCTATGGAATTGAATCACATGAAATTTTAATTCCAATTTAATTTTAATTCCATCAATTCCGTATATCAAACCGACCCAGAGGATTGGGTGGACAAAGCCATAAGAGAAGGGACCCTTTGCGCGTTAAGCACCAAATGAAAGAATAATGTGAATAGCCCAATAATGCTCATCAATATATATATGTTGGGAGGAGTCTTGTCACACACACATATATTGTCATGTCATGGATGTTTTTTGCCTCTGCCTACTTCTTGTTTCTATTTTTCCCATTTTTGTTTATTATATCATGCTACCTAGTCTCTCTATGTATAATTTACACATGTGTGTGTGTATATATATACACACACAGAGATATATATATATGCACACACACACATATAGGTCGGTTTCGTGATAATGCACCTTGTGGAGAGAAATGAGAATAAAATTTAGATGTTTGATCTGATGCATCGTGCGGCTCAGATTGCATCCTGCGCTCAGATTTTGAGATAGTGCATTTTCAAAGGATTTTGATACATTTTGACATGATGCATTTTCAAACCATTTTGGTGTACCTAATTTTGATGCAATCCTGACCCTTAGATCTCACAATCTAAAGCACCAGATTCATTCCTATTTCTCTTTTAAGATCACATTCTCAACACACATATATATGTACATATGTATGCATGTCAAGTCTACTCACGTCATATACACTAACACTCATGGATACTATTTTAGAATATGGAATGGAAAGATATATATGCCGGCCGGAGTACGTAGCCTACATACACCACAGCTTCTTCAATTCTTCTGCTAGCTGCAAATTAAATGTGGATCGAAGTACTCCGTTTATGTGTATGTTTATGTGTATGTATGTATGTATGCATGCATGCATAGATGATATGATGATGATGATGGATCCCCACGGCCGTACGTACTGCAAGCTGCTATATGCTAATAAAGCTCTTTGGCGACGTGACGTAATTAAGGCACATACAAAAGCTTTGCTTTGCTATCAAAGGCACATAAAATGCCCTTTTTCACACTATCTCCAACCACTCACAACATATACTCTTTTTAAAAAATTAGTCTCACCTTCATTTTTATGTGCATCTCACAAAATACTTTTATTCCCATCTTAAGGCATTTTTTGGATGAAAGGAAAAAATTGACGGAAAAAATAGAGAGGAAAGAAAATGGAGCAGACCATTTGAATCTATTTGGTTCACCACTTACAAATGACTCTTCACATCCCTGTGAATATTTTTTTAAGTACGGATACCTAAAAGACCTAAAAGAAAGTGCGGTAAAACAAAAAATACAATCTTGTCATTACTATATACTAGTATTACGGAGTAATAAATTGAAAGGAGGAGGGACAAAAGAGTCATTTAATAAATATTCTTGTAAGTGGCTCAATTTTCTCGTCTCATGGGAAGAGGAAACTTTTCTTCTTGGTTCCTAGATGCATTATATTTTCTTTCTCTCCCTATTTTCTATTACAATCAAACAAGAGAAAAGTGTCTCAAATACGCCTTATTTCTTCTTTATTGCCCCTAGAAGTTATTTTGGGGATATTCTACACATTTTAGGTAGCATAAAAGTATTTTGTGAAATGCACAAAGAGATGAGAATGTAATCTGTATATCCGGCGATACGTAGAGATATGTACACCCGACAAATATTTCTTCAGAATCAACAAAATCTTCATTTTGAATCAACAGAATATTCATTTTCAACCGTATCATTATTCTTCATTCTAACGAATACTCAACGTAGTGTTCACTCTGAAAGTATGTAAGATTCATCTTGAAATAACGTAGCTTTCATTTCAAAATAAATTAATCATCATTTTACGTATATTTTTAATTATACCATATAATTTATCACAAAAAGTAGAAGTAAAAATCTTTTTTTTTCAAACTAAGGGAGCATATGGGACGGTGAGGGAAAATTAAATTAGGAGAAAAAAAACATTGGGAGGATCTGATCATCTTCCACAAAATCGTGTGTGTTTTCACTGTTGAGACGCGCGGAATCGAGTACTGTCCCCCCCGTGTTGTCCGCTACCGTGTCTTCTTTCCATTAATGTCATCATCAATTCATCAACATATTTCATTACTTCATAATTAACACTAATTACTGTAAACTGTGTGGGTTGGGTGGAGTTTTAGCCCTAGCCCTAACCCTAAATTAATTGAGTAAATTACCATAATCCTCGTTTTCTTCTTTCTTTTGTCGTTAATACGAAAATTACTGCTACAAATAAATAGAGACATCGGGGCATATATATATATATATATATATATATATATATATATATATATATATATATATATATATATATATATATACACACACTGCACACACACACACACATATATATATATACTCCGATCCGTAAATAGCGGGGCCATGCAAAGCCCCTATTTTCTATTTTATCTCTGTTCATATATATCACTTTAAATTTTGTTCTGTTCCCGACTGAATTTCAATTCATTCCTTCGGCTGGCAGTATTAAAAGAAAAATTTAAAATTTTTTATATTAAAATGACGAGTAACTTCTATATATGCAGTAATTATTTCAGTTTTTTTTACTGGTTTGACTTTATTAAATCAACTTATCTTTATAATGTAAAGTGATTTACCGAGTACAATGCAATTTTTATTTAATTAATATACTCCGTACCGTTCTACAAAATCCTCCCCCTTTCGTTTTTTTTGTTTTCCACAAAACACTTCCACTTTCTATTAAAAAACCACTTTTACCCCTACTTTTTCATACCCTACCTATCACATCATACTTTTTTACTAATAACTAAACTATCACATCTTACTTTTTCCCATCACATCAAGAGCAAAATTGGAAAGTCAACTAAAATTTCAATTTCCTTATTTTTGCCCAAAGTCAAAATGAGAATGGTTTTGTGGAACGGAGAGAGTACTACCTAATAACCAAGGAAATACTCCATAGTTTGTTTTACTTCATACTCCGGAATAAACTTCAATTCAAACCAAACTCATGTCATTCAAACA